TAGTATTTTTTCCATTTAATATTCACATACACTAGTCCATATCGCTATATTTGATTGAAGTGTACTGAATTGCATTTTATTTATTCATTCAATATTTGACGAATTCTGTGACATTGCTCGTTACACAGTAAACTTCTGTTGTGTAGCATTTTGAATGTACAAAAATTAAAGGGTTTGTTTAATTTTCATTGGAATGAAAGATAGATTAATGTTTTCGCCTTCATTTGATTACCAGAAAAATGAAAATACACAACACAGAATTTCTAAAAAATAAGTAAATAAAATTAACATTTCATAGGGCCCTATTATTGTATACAAATTAATAAATTAAGGTGCTTTTATTAATTCAATTAGATATGTTTTTGATGAAACCATTAAAATGGAACACTGAAAAATTAAAATGTAAAAAAAAAAAGAAAGCGCAGAATTTGGGTCCCTAAGAATGTAATTTTTGTTAAACTTTTAATAGGCCTAAATTGCTGTTAAATTAAACAAGTTTCATGATTTTAATTAATTAGACATGTTTTTTGTTAAAATTTAATATAATCATCCAGAAAACAAAAAAACGAAAAAGAAAAAAAAACTGAATCCACAGAAATTAAAACGGAAAAAAAGATTTTGGAAAAAATAAAACTTAGGCTAATTTGGGAAAAATAAAGCGGATTTCATAGGGCCCTACAAATATCATGCATCTGAAGTTATAATTTTAATACTAAGCAACAGTGCATATTATATAGGGCCTATTTTAATTTTTTTAAATGGCGCTCACTCGTTTTTGTGAAAGACCCCAGAACAGGCACACTTCATATTTGGTTGAAATAATCCTTAAGCATGTAANTTTGCGGGGGAATTTTTACTTTACAAATAAAAGACATGGCTGATTTGCACGGGATTAAGATCACAGACAACCTCCGCAATTATAACAAATGACTGGAGGTCACCAGGTAATACTAATCCCGTGCGAATAGGGCTTTTGTTAATTGTGAAAAAAAATTGGTTGAATTTGAATTTCGTCTCATTGCTTCATATAAAATCAAAATAACGACTTGGTACATACACTTTTTCCAGTTCTGTTGCCTTTTTTTTTGTTACATGTCTTATGATATTTATATAATTTAAAAGATAGATAATGTGAGAATGTTTTTTTTTTTTACACCAAATAACATAACATATAATAAGGTTAAGAGCTTACATACCAAAATATATTTTATAATGTGATAAAAATTACAATGTGCCAAATTACTAAATAGTGCTAAAAATAGAATATAGCTCTCCTATTGTGTTTATTTACAAATATAATTTTTTTTATGATACCTATATAAATCTACATAAATAATGTGACAACATTAAGCAAAATGTTTTGCTCCCAACAAGAGTGATCTGTGTTACATCGGTGTGGCAAATCTGTGACTGTATAGCCTATATTTTGGGGTTTGGAACCTCGAGGGAAGTTTACTCTCGTCCAAAAACCTCACAAAAGCTGATTGCGTGTATAAGCTTGTTGCGAAGTGTGTTGATATCGCTGTATTTGGGAAGAATTAATCTGCCAAAACAGGTCTGGGCCTCTGGCAGTCGGTCTTCTACATCAGGACAGTCTGACAGTAAAATCTTCAGAGAGCGCTTTGAGAAACCTCCCACAGGTACACGGTCCGTCCCATACAAGAAAACTAGAGAAAAATAAATAATGTGAGGATGTGAGGCAAATGATAATGATATTGCTTATGTAGATGCATCAAGACATTCATGTTCAAGACAAAACCTACTCAGAAACTTCCTCTTGTTCTCTTCAGAGAGCTCAAAGAAAACAGTCCAGAAGTTCTTGATGAGCTCATCAGAGGCAGAACACTTTTCATAGGAAGCACACTGAAGACGAAGCAGAAAAACTCAGGTACTGTGAAATATTTAAAACATACAAAATTGGCAAGTTTCTTGAAGACGTTTACCTGCTGAAGCTCCTTCCACTCGTATTCAGGGGAGCCGTGGAGAAGCTCCTGGAGTTCCTCAGGGTGGAACATGCTCCAGGCATCAAGTGGACAGCCCTTAAAGAAACCTCTTGAAAAATGTTTGAACTGTTTCTTCACTGACTTGTTGAAAACGAAGTTGACATACAAATCCACATACTTCTGTCTGAAAAATAAAAGTTATTACTTTGCAATGCACAAAAGGAACATCTACAGCAGGGGTCACCAGACTTGGTCCTGGAGGGCTGGTGTCCTGCAGAGTTTAGCTCCAACTTGCCTCAACACACCTGCCTTGAAGTTTCAAGTATACCTAGCAAGACCTTGATTAGCTAGTTCAGGTGTGTCTGATTAGGGTTGTAGCTAAACTCTGCAGGACACCAAGTTTTGTGACCCCTGATCTACAGCACCTATAGACTAATTTGCATTTTTATGTTGTTTTGTCATGTATGTATTTCAGAAGTAATGTATAATTAATTGAAGTCTATTATAACATCAAGAGGACATTTAGAAAATGATAGATAGTTTCTACCTATTAACTTTGGTCACTTGAATTTGATCTCCGTTTGGAATGAGCTTTTTTCCTTTGACCTGAAGGAGGTAAATAACAGCACAAATGTAAGCATTTAAACAACAGCTGTGCACACTTTTATACAAATGAACCACAGAAACTGTATTACCGTGAAATCCAAAAAGAGCATATCCACTACTTCATCTTCTTCCTCCTCAAGAAGGCTTTTCAGACTTCTAATGAGATTTTTGAAATACAATTATAAATATGACTTGCTCTGAAACACGACTGTGACATCTACAGTGTAAAAAGTCTAATGTCTCATAGTCTTTAATCGTTTACCTGGCCTCCACAGGAGATAGTTCCTCCAGATCATTCAGAGTGGGACTCTGCTGGAGGAGTTTCTTGAACAAGGCCAGAGGGAAGCCAATGTTTATATAATGACGGTTGTAGAGCGCCATTCCACAGATAACGCCAAGATAGTAAAAATCTCTATTAGCTTGCATGCCCTGAAAAGACACAAGCATCACAGCACATGTATGTGATATATGAGAAAGACTACATTAGAAAGAACAAGGAATGTTTGGTGTAAAACTTACATCAGGATTGAACCAAACCAGTGAACTCTCATGGACTTCCAGCACCTTCTTCTCCCATTTCAGAAGAGACTGGGAAAGGAGGGAGAAGAATTCTGCCGATAAACCCCTCATATCTATTCCATTCTCCCCGATGAATGGACCTGAAGGAGGTAAATAACAGCACAAATGTAAGCATTTAAACAACAGCTGTGCACACTTTTATACAAATGAACCACAGAAACTGTATTACCGTGAAATCCAAAAAGAGCATATCCACTACTTCATCTTCTTCCTCCTCAAGAAGGCTTTTCAGACTTCTAATGAGATTTTTGAAATACAATTATAAATATGACTTGCTCTGAAACACGACTGTGACATCTACAGTGTAAAAAGTCTAATGTCTCATAGTCTTTAATCGTTTACCTGGCCTCCACAGGAGATAGTTCCTCCAGATCATTCAGAGTGGGACTCTGCTGGAGGAGTTTCTTGAACAAGGCCAGAGGGAAGCCAATGTTTATATAATGATGGTTGTAGAGCGCCATTCCACAGATAACGCCAAGATAGTAAAAATCTCTATTAGCTTGCATGCCCTGAAAAGACACAAGCATCACAGCACATGTATGTGATATATGAGAAAGACTACATTAGAAAGAACAAGGAATGTTTGGTGTAAAACTTACATCAGGATTGAACCAAACCAGTGAACTCTCATGGACTTCCAGCACCTTCTTCTCCCATTTCAGAAGAGACTGGGAAAGGAGGGAGAAGAATTCTGCCGATAAACCCCTCATATCTATTCCATTCTCCCCGATGAATGTCACCTGCACAGGAGCTTTTCATTAAAATACCATATCAGACATTTCAACTCTGAATTCAATTCTGTAATTCTTTTACCCGAAATAGATTACGAAATGCGTGGGTTTTTTGTTTGAGATACGTAAGTGTGTCCAACCACACTGATTCTCTCTTTATGTGCAACACGTTGCCATTGGCCCTGGGTCTGAAGAGTTGCCACTGCAAGTACTAAGAAGAGTAAAATAATGTTAGCTTTTAAAGGGATAGGCCACCCAAAAATGCAAATTCTGTCAAACTCAAACCTGTATGGCTCAATTTTTTCTGCGGAACACAAATATTCTAAAGAATGTTTGCAACCAAACAGTTTGGTGCCCATTGAATTCCATTGTACGGTAGAAAATAAAGTTCTAATGACATACAGTAGCACCGTTGTGCTTTGGGGCGTCCCGTGTTCGAGTCCCGGCTCGCAGACCTTTCCCAATCCCGCCCCCCTTCTTTCTCTCCCACTTAAGTCTAAATACTGTTCTATTGTAATAAAGGCAAAAATAAATCTTAAAAAAAAAACTGATGACAGAATTTTCATTTTGGGTGAACTTCTGCTTAAAATCATAGTTGTTTGGCATATTCATGTATAACATACAGTATGTATAACTGAGTACATCCTCATGTCTGGCACTCACATGAAACATTCTCCGTTTAGATGCAGTGTCAGCCGCAAAAGGGAACTTGACCAATATGTTAATAGTTCCCTGAAAGAAAAATGCAGTAAAGTAATATAAGATTTCTGGTAGTTATTGCTATATGTCATGCAAATCTATTTGAAATGTATTGATATGTATCATGTCCGAAGCCTTTAATACCTACAAGGTAGTAATCTTTCAATTTCTGCATATCCTGAAAATCATCAGTAATAGCAGACTGCAATAACTGCCATAACAGGTCCTCGAAGGTGGCTTGCAGCTATTGATGTAGAAAAAGAATTCTGAGGTGATTTGGTTTCCTTCCAAAAATCTCTTTGTGCAGCACAATTCACTATTGCTTTGGTTCTTACCGTATCTAGTAGATCACTGATCTCATGAATGATGAAATCCCTGTTTGGGATGTCTCTGTTGGCACTGCAGCAGACCTTCACAACAAAGAATAAAAAACTATTATACAATGATAGATTAAAATACATCTTTGATCCAGTGTATTAAAAAGGCACCTGATAGATCATCTGAAGGATATTCAAAAACTTCTTCAGGCGTCTGCGGAACACAAATATTCTAAAGAATGTTTGCAACCAAACAGTTTGGTGCCCATTGAATTCCATTGTACGGTAGAAAATAAAGTTCTAATGACATACAGTAGCACCGTTGTGCTTTGGGGCGTCCCGTGTTCGAGTCCCGGCTCGCAGACCTTTCCCAATCCCGCCCCCCTTCTTTCTCTCCCACTTAAGTCTAAATACTGTTCTATTGTAATAAAGGCAAAAATAAATCTTAAAAAAAAAACTGATGACAGAATTTTCATTTTGGGTGAACTTCTGCTTAAAATCATAGTTGTTTGGCATATTCATGTATAACATACAGTATGTATAACTGAGTACATCCTCATGTCTGGCACTCACATGAAACATTCTCCGTTTAGATGCAGTGTCAGCCGCAAAAGGGAACTTGACCAATATGTTAATAGTTCCCTGAAAGAAAAATGCAGTAAAGTAATATAAGATTTCTGGTAGTTATTGCTATATGTCATGCAAATCTATTTGAAATGTATTGATATGTATCATGTCCGAAGCCTTTAATACCTACAAGGTAGTAATCTTTCAATTTCAGCATATCCTGAAAATCATCAGTAAAAGCTGACCGCAATAACTGCCATAACAGGTCCTCCAAGGTAGCTTTCAGCTATTGATGTAGAAAAAGAATTCTGAGGTGATTTGGTTTCCTTCCAAAAATCTCTTTGTGCAGCACAATTCACTATTGCTTTGGTTCTTACCGTATCTAGTAGATCACTGATCTCATGAATGATGAAATCCCTGTTTGGGATGTCTCTGTTGGCACTGCAGCAGACCTTCACAACAAAGAATAAAAAACTATTATACAATGATAGATTAAAATACATCTTTGATCCAGTGTATTAAAAAGGCACCTGATAGATCATCTGAAGGATATTCAAAAACTTCTTCAGGCGTCTAGTTAAGTCATAGCCCATTTTACCAAAAGACATCTGGCCAATCAGCTCAGCAGATGCTTTGCGAAATAACTTCACCAGGCTTTTGAGCCAATCATCAGGAAGTTTGGACCAGTACTTCTCTGAGAATATAACATAAAAATACTTTGACAAATACAACAAAGCCAAAAACACAAGTCAAAGGCTGAAAGTTCTCTCAGCTTTACCTAACACCTTGTGAGCATCAGGATCCAGCTGAAGGATTTTAGAGGCCAGAGCTTCAGTGAGTTCAGTTCTTCGATGTTTCTTGAGGAGTCTGATGAGCTCAGGGAGGAGAAGATAAACTCTCAGCGATTCCACACCAGTTGGATTTGGATTCAGAGATCGCAGCATCTGTTCAACCACCTTCTCTACCTGAGATACACAAACCATTAACTGCATCTTATTGTTTAAAATGTAATTAACATTTATTCATGTTTATAAATGTACGCAATTACCTCTGATATCAAGCTTTTATTCTTTGATAACTTTGCAAAGGATGTTTTAACCAGATCAAAATCCAAACCACAATGCTCTTCAGACGTCTGATAATGATCATCACAACTACAAAAACAGACATTTAGTTTAATATCTGCAATGGAAGGAGGCACAAAAATTAGAAAATATTAAAAAGAACTACTTCATTTCGAGAAAACTTCCATTCAGAGAGGCAGCGGAGGAGAACACTGTGTTTATTTCCCTGTAAATAACACAATACTTTTACAAATTCTTTCTGAGTCCATTTATATGCATTAATATATATGATTGCTCAATTATATTAGGGTACAACTCTTTATACATAATAGTAAGAATCCTACATAAGATCGAGATTCACTTAATGGATTGTGTAAATAAACAATTATTTACTCTCTGGTATTTCTTCTATTTAATAGTAAGTTTAAAAAGAAGGACAAATGCATTAAGGTCCTGACACTCAGTTCCACATGCAATTTCCCAGTATTTCAAAAATGGCATGGAAATAGTATACATAAACTCTGGATTTATATCAGTATCAGTAAATGGAAACACTTAACTGCTTTATTGTTGCCCAGCATGAATCAGTTGCAGACAGCCATCGGTCAATCATTCTGTCATTTAATGTCAAAGCACCTCTGCTTGGATTGGATTTGACCTTACTTTCCAGTTCCTACAAAATACAAGTAAAACATGAGTAATCACAGTGCAGCAATAATTTATGTTAAACTACTAATGAATGAAAAAAAAGTCCTACTTTGAAAAACAAGGCAAAGGAATGATTCTCCCCAGCGATGATTTTTTCAATCGTATATTCTTGATTACATTCTGTGTGCAACAAACATTTAGCTTTGTTTAGTTCTGAACAACAGCACGAGTAAAACAATATTCATAACAAAATACCCCACTGCTAAAAGATGATTTACTTACCAGTTGGCAGATCCACAGAGAAAGGCACAGACTGCTTGATCATTTCTCCGTTTCCCAGCTGCCCTTGTGTCCCACATCCAAACGAGTAGATCAGCTTTGACGATGTGACTGACACAAGCGTGTGATGTCTTTGAAAGAAAGACTCAATACTGAACTGAACTTAAACCATACAAAAACATGTATTTGAGCTAATATTTGTCTTGCGAGGAATTATCAATATTTGTTATGGTAGAATTACCTTTTTTATTTTTTATTCAGTGGCGGACACTGGCTTCCAAACAAAACCATGATGACAAATTAAAATACGGATGAGGGATTACGATTTATTTGGAAAACGAAACCAAAACTTAAGGAGATAGCCTAGTTCATCTAAAAATGCAGATAATTGATATTAATTCTTTACTCCCGTCTTGTTCGAAAGTGTGACTTAATATTGCTTATAGCGCCACCTTCTGGCCGTTTTCACAGTTCGGCACGGCACACACATTTCTTTGCATGTTGTACTGATATATACTACATATGGGCTTTTATCTATTTTTTGAAAACTCTATTTAGTAAGGTTTTGACAATGATTACAATCAATTCACAATAATAGTACAAAAACTATAAACATTTTTTAAACTCTCAACAATCTGTCCCCATTCCTACCCATATATGTATACATGCATATACAGTATGCTCCTGGAGTTCCTCAGGGTGGAACATGCTCCAGGCATCAAGTGGACAGCCCTTAAAGAAACCTTCTGAAAAATGCTCGAACTGTTTCTTCACTGACTTGTTGAAAACGAAGTCGACATACAAATCCACATATTTCTGTCTGGAAAAAAAGGTGTTTTTACTATGCAGTGATGTGATTGTTGCATCCTCCTGCTGGAGTCCCTATGATCGTCACCAGAGGGCCCCCCTCCCGTCTCCCTTGCTTTCCCATCATGATGAACTTCATTTCCCATAATCTATTGCTTGGACACTTCCACCTGTGTGTCACTACCTCATTAACTCCTTTATAACTCTATATAAATTATAACATCAAGAGGACATTTAGAAATGGAACGGTTTGTCAAGACAAGCTTGTTTGAAACATTCAACGATATTTTTGAAGAGTTGACAGATAGATAGATCTATTTCTACCTATTAGCTTTGGTCACTCGAATTTGATCTCCATTTGGGATGAGCTTTTTTCCTTTGACCTGAAGGAGGTAAATAACAGCATCAATTTAAACAAAAGCTGTGTACACTAATACATGTGAACCATAGAAACTGTATTACCGTGAAATCGAAACTGAACGTATCTACTACTTCATCCTCGTCCTCCTCAAGAAGGCTTTTCAAAGTTCTAATGTGAGATTTTTGAAATTCAATTAATATGACCTGCTCTGTAACACTAAAGTGTATAAAATCGAATGTCTCATAGTCTTTAATCGTTTACCTGGCCTCCACAGGAGATAGTTCCTCCAGATCATTCAGAGTGGGACTCTGCTGGAGGAGTTTCTTGAACAAGGCCAGAGGGAAGCCAATGTTTATATAATGATGGTTGTAGAGCGCCATTCCACAGATAACGCCAAGATAGTAAAAATCTCTATTAGCTTGCATGCCCTGAAAAGACACAAGCACCACAGCACATGTATGTGATATATGAGAAAGACTACATTAGAAAGAACAAGGAATGTTTGGTGTAAAACTTACATCAGGATTGAACCAAACCAGTGAACTCTCATGGACTTCCAGCACCTTCTTCTCCCATTTCAGAAGAGACTGGGAAAGGAGGGAGAAGAATTCTGCCGATAAACCCCTCATATCGCTTCCATTCTCCCCGATGAATGTCACCTGCACAGGAGCTTTTCATT